ATAGGGATTGCAGTGTTCGTATAGGGATTGCAGTGCTCGTATAGGGATTGCAGTGCTCGTATAGGGATTGCAGTGTTCGTATAGGGATTGTAGTGCTCGTATAGGGATTGCAGTGTTCGTACAGGGATTGCAGTGTTCGTATAGGGATTGCAGTGTTCGTATAGGGATTGCAGTGTTCGTATAGGGATTGCAGTGTTCGTATAGGGATTGCAGTGTTCGTATAGGGATTGCAGTGCTCGTATAGGGATTGCAGTGTTCGTATAGGGATTTGCAGTGTTCGTATAGGGATTGCAGTGTTCGTATAGGGATTGCAGTGTTTCGTATAGGGATTGCAGTGTTCGTATAGGGATTGCAGTGCTCGTATAGGGATTGCAGTGCTCGTATAGGATTGCAGTGTTCGTATAGGGATTGCAGTGTTCGTATAGGGATTGCAGTGTTTGTACATAGGATTGCAGTGTTCGTATAGGGATTGCAGTGTTTGTATAGGGATTGCAGTGTTTTGTATAGGGTGTACAGGGATTGCAGTGTTCGTATAGGGATTGCAGTGTTTGTATAGGGGATTATAGTGTTCGTATAGGGATTGTTAATGCTCGTATAGGGATTGCAGTGTTCGTATAGGGATTGTAGTGTTCGTATAGGGATTGCAGTGCTCGTATAGGGATTATAGTGTTCGTATAGGGGATTGCAGTGTTCATATAGGGATTGCAGTGCTCGTATTGGGATTGCAGTTCTCGTATAGGGATTGCAGTGTTCGTATAGGGATTGCAGTGCTTGTATAGGGATTGCAGTGTTCGTATAGGGATTGCAGTGTTCTGTATAGGGATTGCAGTGTTCGTATAGGGATTGCAGTGTTCGTATAGGGATTGCAGTGCTCATATAGGGATTGCAGTGTTCGTATAGGGATTGCAGTGTTCGTATAGGGATTGCAGTGCTCGTATAGGGATTGCAGTGTTCTCGTTGCAGTGTCGTATAGGGATTGCAGTGTTCGTATAGGGATTGCAGTGTTCGTATAGGGATTGCAGTGTTCGTATAGGGATTGCAGTGCTCGTATAGGGATTGCAGTGTTTCGTATAGGGATTGCAGTGTTCGTATAGGGATTGCAGTGTTCGTATAGGGATTGCAGTGTTCGTATAGGGATTGCAGTGTTCGTATAGGGATTGCAGTGTTCGTATAGGGATTGCAGTGTTCGTGTTCATAGGGATTGCAGTGTTCGTATAGGGATTGCAGTGTTCGTATAGGGATTGCAGTGTTCGTATAGGGATTGCAGTGCTTGCAGTGTTCGTATAGGGATTGCAGTGTTCGTATAGGATTGCAGTGTTCGTATAGGGATTGCAGTGCTCGTATAGGGATTGCAGTGTTCGTATAGGGATTGCAGTGTTCGTATAGGGATTGCAGTGTTCGTATAGGGATTGCAGTGCTCGTATAGTATAGGGATTGCAGTGCTCGTATAGGGAATGGGAATAAAGATATACATGCATGCCGCCGTTTTTCCATATAGTAAGATGGCGGATTTCGATTTCCTGCCCTTGATGTGGGACAGAATATAAGGAACCCTCTCAGACATCTTGATCCCTTGTGAAAAAGTCCAGGAAGTGACGAAACACGTGCGTCGGGACACGCAACGTCTGAAGAACTCACGCAAAAAACCGGAAGTGTGGTGGTGGCCATTTTGGAAGTGGGAACATGCGGTTCTCTATACATAGGACTACACCTGAGCTGTTCTGAATGCTGGAAGCTGATATTCTTCAATTGTAATGTAAGATATTCAATAAATATTGACTTCTGTTACTATATAGCGCTGATTGTCTCCTATCTCACCTGATGAGGAATATGGAAGAGTGCCAACAGGAACATTAGGAAGCCTGGAGAGTGCGACTATCCCCTGAAAGCCTGGGATTTATTTCCAGAGGGGAATGATCCATTGTTGCACCAGTTGGAGGAGAGCACTTTATTGTTCACTATTATTGAGTTTGTAGAGCTCACTATTAGAGATTTGGGTTATTCTCCATTCTCACTATTTGGAGGTGATCACGTTTCATCGTTTGGACTTGGAATGGTCACTCTTCTGATTCTTGTCACGAGTGTATTTACATATTCAGAGATTGATATATTGGTAGAGGAATTGTTTTTTCACGTGTGAGCTCACGGTATGCAGTTGGCATGATACACGGTTCTTTCACTATTTTACATGTATGTTTCAGTATAAAGGTAATACACTATCAGAAGTTTATTTTTTTGAGGTTCACAAAGAATTTTGGAATTTCCATACTGGATGATTAAAGATGATACGAGTTTGCTTTGGAATTTGGAAAGACATCTTTACAGAGACATTTTGGACATTTATTTTTTGGGACATTTAGTTTATATATATATTTTTTTTAATTTTTTTTTTTATTTACATTTTATTTATTTTTTTTTTTTTTTTTTACAATTTATTTTTTTTATTTTATTGTATATTGGGATAGATTCATCTATGTTTAAAGAAGAGTTTAGTTACATGTTCATTTATGTACCGTATTGCATGACCGCGCAATTGTCAGTAAAACTAGTGCAGTGCTGTATAGTAAAAAAAATGGTGTAAATTCCATTATCTCTCCCATAGTTTGTAGACGCTATAACTATCACACAAAGCAATCAATATACACTTATTGGGATTTTTTTTACCAAAAACATGGAGCAGAATACATTTTGGCCTAAATTTATAACTAACTTTGAGTTTACTATATATTTTTTATAGCCAAAAGTAAAAAAAATATTGTTTTTTTTTTTTTCAAAATTTTTGGTCTTTTTTTGTTTATAGCGCAAAAAATAAAAAGCACACAGGTGATCAAATACCTCCGAAAGAAAGCTCTATTTGTGTGAAAAAAAGGACATAAATTTCGTTTGGGTGCAGCATTGCATGACCGCGCAATTATCAGTTGAACTAGTGCAGCGCCGAAAGCAAAAAGAGGCGTGGTCAGGAAGGGGGGTAAATCCTCAGGAGGGGGAGGGGTTAAACTCTCCAGTATCTTCCCAACTATAGAAGTTACACTAACAGCTCTATAATTACTTGGGAAAGATTTTGTCCCCTTTATAAATATTGGCCCCACATTGGCCTTACACCAATCCAGTGGTACTATGCCAGTCATTAAAGAGTCCCTAACAATGAGAAACAATGGCTGTGAGATGACAGAGCTGAATTCTTTAAGGCCCCGTGGGTGTCTGCCATCCGGTCCAGGGGCTTTATTCACCTTTATTCTGTACAAATATTTCTGGATCATATCAATTGTGAGCCAATGTGGATCATCTGGGGGGTGTCAGTACCACCCCCCATTATGGACAAGAGCCCCCCCATGCTCCTTTGTATACACAGAGCTGAAGAAGGGATTTCATACATTGTCCTTCTCTTTGTCCCCCCCCCTCTAGATGGTTCTGTAAAGGGCCTACATGCTGGGACCGGACCTTTCTACTATTCATATATTGGAGGAATGTTTTGGGGTCGTCCTGATATCTTTCTGTCGTTTGTTTTCAGTTTTTGCCTTTATTTCCTTTTTGCATCTTCTGTTCTATTCTTTGTAATGTGTAAACGATGATCGCGTTCCTTCATTGTTATATTTAATAAAAGCTCTTTTCTTATTATCTATCGCTTTTGTAACTTTGGCCGTAAGCCACATAGGTTGGATTTGTAGCCTTTTATACTTGTTGCCCATGGGAATATATTTTGCAGTGTGGTCACATACAGTCTTTTTGAAGAACTCCCATTTCTGTGTTGTGTTCATCGATGCCAATATTCCCTCCCAGTCTAAGTCTTGGAGGCAGCTCTCGGAAAATTAGCTCTCTTAAAGTTGAGCGTTTTTATTTTCCCGTATGTGCTCGCTGTTTACAGCTAACAATAAATGAAATCATGTTATGGTCACTGCTACCCAGATGTTCTTTTTATGGACATTCGTAATAAGCTCTGCATGGTTTGAGATGACCATGTCCAGCAGAGCATCATTCCTAGTGGGGCCTCTATGAACTGGACCATAAAATTGTCCTGTAGTAGGTTTATATTTTTTGCCTTTAACTGTTCCTGCAGTACCATTACTCCAGTCACTTTCTGGGTAGTTGCCATCCCCCATTATTATCACTGTCCCAGCCCTTGCAGCCCTTTCCATCTGTGTGAGGAGCTGAGTCTCCACCTCCTCATTAACACTGGGAGGCCTATAACAAACTCCAATGATGACCTTTGTAGTACGCCCCCCATGTGCAGCTCCACCCATAATACTTCAGCCTCATCACACTCTCCATCAACTAGGTCCTCTTTCACACTCGCTCTGAGATCACTTCTCACATAGAGACAGACACCACCCCCTTTCCTATTTCCCCCGTCTCTCCGAAAGAGAACCTAGCCAGGAATATGAATGGCCCAGTCATGTGAGGAATGAAGCCAAGATTCAGCAATACCAATTCAATCCTAGTTCTCTTCATGCACCAAACCTTCCAACTCACCTATTGTGCTGGGCACACTTCTGGCATTGGGGAACAAACACTTTCATTCACTGACACCTTGTTTCATTCATTCACTGACACCTTGTCCATTCACCGACACCTTGTTCATTCACTGACACCTTGTTCACACGGATTTTGTGTATTTTTTTTTATTTTCCTACAAATGCTACCAATTCCACTGGTTGTTTGTAACATGGGAACCTTCTTATCATCATCTGCCATAGCCCTCCCCCCATTCCATCCCCTAGGGGTACTGACCCCTGTCTGATCTGTCTACCTCTTTATAATCCCAGATGTACAGGAAGACAGGACTTCAGTGAGGAACATTTCCCTCACTCTGGACAGGAAAGTGGCTTCACCCCCATGTGAGTTCTCTGATGTCTGTAAAGATTGGGACTTATCTGAAAAACATTTTCCACACTCAGGACAAGAATATGCTTTTCCCCCGTGTGAGATCTTTGATGTGTGTAAAGATGGGACTTCACTGAAAAACATTTCCCGCATCAGGACAGGAATACGGCTTCTCTCCCTTGTGTGAGATCTCTGATGTCTGTAAAGGCTGGACTTCAATGAAAAGCATTTGCCACAGTCAGGACAGGAATACGGCTTCTCACCTGTATGAAATTGCTGATGTCTATAAAGATTGGACTTCTGTGAAAAACATTCCCCACACTCAGGACAGGAATACGGCTTCTCCCCCGTGTGAGATCTCTGATGTGTGTAAAGATTACAGTTCATTGAAAAACATTTGCTGCACTGAGGACAGGAATACGGCTTCGCCCCTGTGTGAGATCTCTGATGTGTGTAAAGATTACACTTCACTGAAAAACATTTCCCGCACTCAGGACAGGAATACGGCTTCTCCCCTGTGTGAGATCTCTGATGCTTGCAAAGGTATGACTTCAGTGAAAAACATTTTCCCACACTCAGCACAGGAATATGGCTTCTCCCCCCAGTGTGTGAGATCTCTGATGTCTGTAAAGATGGGACTTCCTTGAAAAACATTTCCCGCACTCAGGACAGGAATACGGCTTCTCCCCCGTGTGGGTTCTATTATGCACATTAAGATGGTATGTAGAATGGAACCTCTTCCCGCACTCAGTACAGGAGAACCTCTTCCCTGTTGGAAGGCCGGCCCGGTCCCGCACAGTCTGAGGTTCCTCAGGATACGAGGAATCCGATGGTCCATCTACACTGGGGTGGTGCCGGATGGACATTGGGGAGCCGGGTTTTCTCCTGGACTATACTGTGTGATGTCCTCATCTTCTACTTTCCAGTCTGGAGACAAAGTGAGACAATCCTCGGAGGTTTTCCTCATCTCCCGGCCATGGACTAAAATACAAAGACAAAGAGGATTACTAGACAGGAGCTGATTGGTTCCCCCAAACCAGGACTCCGCCCACATCAGGCAGCTTGGTCTCTGAGGAGCTTACAATTCCACCCTCAAGGGAACTAGGAAATGGCTCCTCTGATCTCCTACCAGGTCATTTCTTTATTCATGGACCTTAGTCAGAGAGTGAGGAAACAACCAGAACTGTCTTTTATAGGAGGGACAGTGATGAGGGGATTATAGGACGAGGGTCCCCACCCCCTCTATCACTCATCGCCATCTTCCCAACACAAGAAGTACTGCACTTCCTTATTTAGTCCATGATTTAGTCATGAAGAACAGCGGGGCTGAGCCCCACCAGAGGTCAGAGAGTGAGGATGGGGGGGGAACAACCAAGATGAAGACTGGACTGATCCTGAAGACCACCATCATTGGGGTATTGGCTCCTCCCTCATTATCACTTTCTGTTTAAGGGTCCAAAGTTGGAGGATGTTATCACATTATTATCACCATGTAAAAGTCTGTGCTCCAATCACATCATCCGATATAAAATGTCCAGCTGGGAGGAAATGGGGGGAACAAAAGAGAATCCATATTATGTGTATATATAGCAGTGGGGGAGGGGGGAGAGCAGAAGTCAGGACTATGGAATGTACAACATAGAGTATATAGTGCAGGGGTCAGGAGTATGTAATGTACAACAGGGGTCAGGAGTAATGTACAACATAGTATATAGCAGGGGTCAGGAGTAATGTAATGAGTATATAGTGCAGGGGTCAACATGAGTACAACATAGAGTATATGTGCAGGGGTCAGGAGTATGTAATGTACAACATAGAGTATATAGTGCAGGGGTCAGGGTAATGTCAGGAGTATATAGTAAGGGTGTGTACAATACATAGAGTATATAGTGCAGGGGTCAGGAGTATGTAATGTACAACATAGAGTATATAGTGCAGGGGTCAGGAGTATGTAATGTACAACATAGAGTATATAGTGTAATGTAATGTACAACAGTGAGAGTCATATAGTGTACAGGGTGCAGGGTCCAGGAGTATGTAATGTACAATATTGTGAGGGGAGTGACTTTGGGTGGGGGGCACAGCCTCCTTTGGAGTGGTGGTAGACCCCTGCTGCAGCTCCCCATATCCCTCTTATGTGTAAATCACCCTGTGCCTGTTAGGGGTACAGGGTGGAATGTCCTAGTATTGTGTAGACATGTATAGGTGGGGTGTGGGGGTTGTTCATTGTTTACTGTGTCATGTGGTTTCTCCATTGTTCTATTGTGTCTTCCTTGCCAGCAAACTATTATGGGATGTATGTGTTCATGTATTGTCTACTGCCACATGGTGTATCCCATTGTTCTATTGTGTGTGTATTGTCTACTGCCACTGGGAGTATCCCATTGTTCTATTGTGTGTGTATTGTCTACTGCCCACATGGTGCAGCTCCCATTGTTCTATTGTGTGTGTATTGTCTACTGCCACTGGGAGTATCCCATTGTTCTATTGTGTGTGTATTGTCTACTGCCACATGGGGTATCCCATTGTTTCTCCATTGTTCTATTGTGTGTCTGTATTGTCTACTGCCACTGGGAGTATTGGGATCCATTGTTTCCTGTATTGTCTATTGTGTGTGTATTGTCTACTGCCACTGGGAGTATCCCATTGTTCTATTGTGTGTGTATTGTCTACTGCCACTGGGAGTATCCCATTGTTCTATTGTGTGTGTATTGTCTACTGCCACTGGGAGTATCCCATTGTTCTATTGTGTGTGTATTGTCTACTGTCCACTGGGAGTATCCCATTGTTCTATTGTGTGTGTATTGTCTACTGCCACATGGTGTATCTCATTGTTCTATGGTGTGTCTTGGTTTGGTGGGGGGTGTTTCCAGCAGCCCTTCCCCCTGATGGGATGGCCTGCTGATGTGTTTCCTGTTACTGGTTGTATTTCCCCGCCCTGTGTATATCTTGTGTTTGTGTTAAAATAAAGCAGTCTCACTTCCTGTCTTAAGAAGAGTCTGGTGCTGTCTATTTCCTGTATGGTCAGCGGTGGTGTCCGTGGATAATGTTCGGACAGGGAAGCGAGAGTCTAACGGAAATACTAGCGCATTCAGGGTCCGGTTCCGTTACAAATATATAAATTATACAGTATATATAAAGCGTAAATGTGAGCGCAATATTAAAAGTGGAAAAAAAGCAGCCAGCATATAAAGGTAAAACCTCAACACCTTAAAATGATAAATAGAAATAAATATGCAGCGCTAAAAACATATATCTTATAAAGGTAAGGGGGGCGCATGCGTGACCAGGACAGGTGATGGCCGCGTTCCTCTGAGGCTCCCTGCTTCCCTGGCCTTAGCGACTCACCCATGGCGCAGCGTCGGCCTCCGAGCATCCCTGGGTGAGTCACCTCAGCTCTGCACCCGGCCCCCACGATAAGGGGAGAGAGACAATGGGCAATATTGGGCACTGGAAGCCCCCCTCCCCCCACCGCCGAGTGACCCGCGGCCATCCCTGCTGTAGCGGTTCCTCACCAGGCCGCAATCCCCAGCCTCTATTACAGCTGAGACCCGGAGAACGAGCTCCGGGCCCCCAGTGGCGGCGGAGGTACTGCAGCCACCAGCTCTACAGTGCAGCCATCCCCTGCATCCCCACGGTCTCCTAACCCCCAGATGAAGGATCCCGAGCCCCTGACACTGGTAGGGGGGGCAATAGAACACCCTTCGTTGAGCCATCCTCCCACTGTTCCTTCCACTCCTCACTCCTCATCTTCTCTCACGGTGTTTGCGTTTGAGGAGGAAAAACTTCAAGTTTTTTTACGCAACATTTCCGCCTCTATATCCACCGAAGTGGGCAAATTGGCTTTGGATCTTCGAGGGGAAATAGCTCAGATCGGTGAGCGTGCGGATCAATTGGAGAACAAATTTGATGAATTGGTGCAATACGTCCATGTCTTAGAAGAAGATAACGCGTATCTGAAACACACCATGTCACAAATCCAGCTCAACAACAAGAAGATTTGGAAAACCGGGAACGTCGGCAGAACATCCGTATTCGCGGTATATCTGAATCTATTGGAGAACAAATTTGATGAATTGGTCAATACGTCCATGTCTTAGAAGAAGATAACGTGTATCTGAAACACACCAGACAAATCCAGCTCCAACAAGAAGATTTGGAAAACCGGGAACGTCGGCAGAACATCCGTATTCGCGGTTATGTCCTGAATCTATTGCCGATTCCCAACTCCGCCCGACATCTCTTATCCTTTTTCATCGCAACCGCCCCCCATGGTCCCAGAAGCAGATTGGCGCATGGACAGGGCCCACCGATCACTAGGCCCTAGACCTGCTGATGGTACCAGACCTCGTGACGTCATCGTCCGCTTTCATTTTTTTGAAAGCAAAGAAGCCTTGCTAGCCTCCGTATGCAACAAGCCTTCCTTGGAATTTAAAGGGGACAGGCTCCAGCTCTTTTGTGATCTTTCTCCAATCACCCTGGCCAAACGGCGGGCACTGAAACCAATCACCACGCACCTTCAACACCACTGTGTCCCTTATCGCTGGGGATTTCCCTTCAAGCTGGTTGTCTCCAAAGACAATTCCCAAGTTATTCTACGTGATCTCTTAGAGGCGGACTCCTTTCTGAAGCAATTGGGACTACCTCCTCTACCAGAAGACGCCTCCTCATCACCGCCTACTCCATCTCGCCCTTCTGTTACTCCCAACAAGATTTGGACACCAGTTTGTAGGGGTCCGGAAGCGTTTTTCACATACTCCACAATGTCCTTGTCCTCATTCCAGAGATGAGCCTACCTGATGCTCTTCTAGAGTGTTCTCCTGCAGATACTTCGGGGTTGTCCTTTATTCCCTCCCTTCTTCCCTTCCCTTCTCTCCCCCCCCCCCCCCCCTTCCCTACCCCCCCTTTTTTTTTTCCCTGGCTGAGCCCTTGCTGGGTGCTTTCATTTGCTCTGATTTTCTGGCCGGGTTTGACGACTGTTATGTTCGGTTGTCGTGTTGCCCCCGATCCTGGCCTGGCCTGGACGACTTGGGTAGAGTTGTTTTTCCCAAGTGTATATCCTCACGGATATCTATGTCTTTTATTGTTATGTTTCCGGTTTATCTATTAATGTCATTTGTTTTTTGTTTAGTTTCATCGATGGTTTTCCATTTACCTTTCCTGCTGGTACACATGCTATATCTATTGTTATTTTGTGATGGCTTTGCGACTTATGTCATATAATGTCAAAGGCCTTAATTCCGTTCAGAAGCAGTGGATGGCTTTGAAGGAATTCCGATCTTCAGGAGCAGACATTATTTTTTTCCAGGAGACCCATTTTAAATCAACAGGCTCCTTTCGTTTTGCCTCAAGGTTTTTTTCCCAATCCTACTCGGCTTTGACCCATCTGGGAAGGCTGGAGTGACAATTTTGATTCGGACACATTGCTCCCTTCGGGTCGTTTCCTCCAGGGTCGACCACCATGGTCGCTTCATTATTTTAGAATGTACACTTGGTGATACTCCTCTTATCTTGA